TCTGGGAACTACGACCTCGTAACACACATAATCCCAACTCCTAACCCCACGATTCATAAGGCTTTACCTAGATGCCCCTAAACTCTGACACCTAGCTGTGATATTTTTCACCTCGAAACCTATAAACCCTAGCTTTCAACTCTAGTACTTTTGACGTTAACTTAACAATCGTAACATTTTATGCTATTCGTTAAATTTTATCCGAATATGTGAATTTTAATGGGTCATGGTGTCTTTACTCTTCCTTCAAAATTTCTCCATTTCAAAATACATGAAGATTTTCTGCTCTGCTCCTGTTAGTTTCCTTTCTTTTTTCTTGCCTTCCTATTCAGCCCTCTTGAGAATGGCTACTGAAAGCACATATGGAACTGGCGAATACGTCCTGCGCCATCAATGATGTTATAGCTGTCCCACAAATCATGATGTATGATTTCTAGAAGCTTTCAACTCTACGTGGATTTATTCTCGACCATCAGTGGCACGTCGAACTGCAACCTCCATAAAACGCGCCAACTGTCATATACGTGTTTTACTGGTGTTGTAAACATTCAGATGTGAGAAGTGTTATCTACCATAATTCTGTAATCAGTGTACCTTATGACATATCATTCTGATTAACACACAACAGTGAAGACCGTATCTTCTGTAACTATTCGATCTTGCATGTAAAGTGGCATGCTTCGTGTAACAGACTTATTCCAGAATAAATTATTGTTATTATTATCAAACCAAACTGACATTTGTGTATCTAATAGATCAATCAAACCGACATTTCCATCAGCGTGGAGCAGAGGAAAAGTAGGCGGAACAACATTATAGATCAAGAATTTATTGACCTCCTTATTTTGCTTGGGTATTATAGTACTTGTCATTCTATAATGAATGCTGTAGGTCCGTGTGTTTAAAGTGGAACTTGACGCTCAAATTGCCTGGCCCTACGATCTCAGTAGAAACTTACTATAACCATTTTTCCAGCTCTTTTCAAGTATAAAACGCTGGATAAATGGTAGCAGTAAAAGTCTCACTATTTAGGAATTGCAAAATTCTCTTATTGTAACCCTGTGTAGTCATTCCCATAAAATGTTTTTATTAGAAACCAAGTCAAAGGGTAGAGATAAAAACTGTGTAAGTTTGGAATAAACCTAGAGTAAAATTAAAATACACCCACCCACCACCTGGATGCTGAGATATTCATAAGCAACTGTACTTGAATCTGCTGAGTTACTTGATTCATATCAGGCTTAAAACCCACAGCGATACAGTAAAGCATAGGCAGTTGATAGAATTAAATTCAAGCTGACAATCTAATTGGTTGACGGCCTCGTCTGTCCCGTGAATGCGTTCGAATAACCTTAAACGATGTTTTCATGCACCTTAATATTTTCATCATGAACCACGATATCATCCTGATACGATTCAACACCACCACGTCCGATGATAATTTGGTCTATAACCTACTGCAATATGGCCGATGAAAGGTTTACTCCAAACGGAAGCAGTTTGCTTTTGAACAGTTCAAATGGTGTATTATTAGTAGTTGGTTCACTAGAGATATCATCCAATGGAATTTGCAATAATGCATCTCTATTTTGAAAAACACCTCGACCGACGTAATTTATGTAGAATATCTTAATTTTCGACAGTGATACAACTCTGTTGCAACAGCCGAGTATTTAGTGTCATGCGGTAACCACAACTAATTCTTGATGTTTTTCATCCACCTTTTTTGCAGTCACAATAGTAGTCCAAATGAACAACTCAACAAGTTCACACAGCTTATTCCTTACAGCCTTCCTTAAACCGTGTGAAATTATTGTAGGTTTCGAGAGGATGGGCTCCCCAATTTTAGTTTAAGTGTACTGGGTTAATTTTCACATCTCTCACGGCTTTCGAGTCTTGTAAGATCAGACATTTGATCGGAGTGCTTTCAGAAGAATGGGTGCTTAAAAACTGCTAGCACCGAAATTTGTCTAGTCCTTTAACCCAAGCACGGCTGAATAGTACTCACTATGCTGTTTGGTAACAGCGTCACGAAGATCATTATTAAACAATTTATAAGTAAAGCAAAAGTCTTGAGTCATTTGAAAGCCCAAAAAATATTCTCGCCAGAAGCTCTCCAAGTTTAAGTTCATTTTTACCAATGAACAAATGATCAAGGGGTTGAATGTGATACTGATTATTGGAGGTGCACTTGGAAGATTGTGTCTGGAGCTGCGCCATGTAATTTTGTTGAACTATGATCTTACATGTGTTTACAATAATGTCACTTGAAAATGATCTCTCAGAAATCTATTTAGTTTGATGAACAGAAGTAGAATAGGTTTTTCAGAATATACAGGGTTCTAAAACAAACTATAGGCATCATTATGTTCTATCCGTTTCTTACATTTAGGAATGATATTCTGAGATGAAACTTTAAGACATCGTTCAAGAAAATAAATGCTATTAATTTATTCTGTTTATACTTTCAAAGCATGTTAGGATCTTCACAGGGCGACACGGGTAGCTGGAACTTCCATCCTTGTTTTAGAGCACATTCATCTTTGGAGTGTTAATACCAGGTGCTTGATAATAGGAGACTTTAACGCACCTGATATTAGTTGGACTGATATGACCACAGAAGGATCTATAAACTCCTTTGATAGTAGGTTACTGATAACAATAATGGAGCATGCACTAGTGCAGCATGTATCCAAACCCACACGTTTTGGTGTTAACCAGGGTTCTTCTCTGCTGGATTTGGTAATCACTCATGAGACTGAGGATATTGTCGACCTAAATAATCTTCCACTATTAATGAACAGCGATCAAGCTGTTTTGTCATTCGTGTTTAGAACTAGGGACATGTTATACGATCACGTTACACCCCGCCCAAACGTATGGAAAGCTAACATATCAGCCATTCAGGAATGCGCTGCTAAGACAGATTGGTTTGTAGATACTAGCTTATCAGTTGAAGAAGGATGGTCTGTATTTAAAGGTACTTTTAGTTTAATTACGTCCCCGTTCATACCATACCTGGTACCACGAAGGCCGAATAACAGTCCACCATGGATGACGAAAACAGTCAGGAAACTTCTTAGAAAAAGGAAGAATCACTGGAATATGTTCATCTCTACTGGCTTAGAACAATACAGATCCAGTTATTGTAAGATTAGGAATGCCTGTAAAGCGTTAATAAGCAAGACTAGACATTCATACGAAAAACAATTGGTTAGGGATTCTAGATATAGTCCGAAACGCTTATTCTCGTATATAAAAAGGCGAACTAAGAGAAGCGATGGAATTCCATCACTTTTGATACGAGACAATCCGTTAATCTTAGCAGAGAATGATGCCGAAAAAGTTGAAGCTTTATCGGAATATTTTAGTAAAGCGTTTTCTATCGGTAATGATGGACGACCAATGATTCATCGTGGCCGTGACGGCTCGCTGATGGATCCTGTAGTCATTGAGAAAGACACTGTTTTAAGGCTACTTCAGCATCTCAAACCTGATAAGTCCAGTGGTCTTGATGATATTCATCCTAGGATTATGAAAGCCATATCAGATGAAATTGCTGAACCATTAGCGATACTATTCGACATGTCTCTGAGACAGTCCAGACATCCTAGAGACTGGAAAGACGCCATAATAAGTCCGGGGTATAAGGCTGGAAGTAGGGATTTAGTTAGTAACTATAGACCCGTTAGCTTAACTAGTGCAGTTGTGAAACTGATGGAGAAAATCATTCGGATAGCTGTTATAAACTATGTTGAATGGCAAAATCTTTTCTCCAGGGCACAACATGGTTTTCGGAAAGCCCTATCTTGCTTGACAAATCTTCTCATTGCACGAGAAGAGTGGGTTGCGGCAAAGGATCGGAATGCTCCTGTGGGTGTAATTTTCATAGATCTAAGTAAAGCCTTTGATAAGGTTTCACACTCTGGTCTTAAATTCAAACTGAAACGTTTTGGAATCCATAACACAGTCGTCGATTGGATAAGTAACTTTCTCCATGACAGGAGACAAAGGGTAAGGGTTAATGGGGCTCTCTCCTCGTGGGTACCTGTAAAAAGTGGGGTTCCCCAAGGCACAATCCTAGGTCCTCTTATCTTTTTACTTTATGTAAATGAATTGCCAACTGTAGCAAAATCATCCGTTCTACTCTTCGCTGATGACATAAAGATTTGGAGACCCATACATAGTATGTCGGATAGAATAGTATTACAGGACGATCTTAGCTCATTGGTGGCATGGTTAGACAGGTGGTCACTAGAAGTAAATCCTAATAAGAGTGTAGTGATGCAGTTAAATAACTCTGATGAATCGTATGACTATTCACTACGTGGATTCGTGTTACCCAAAGCAAGAAACTATAAAAACTTAGGAGTTATATTAAGCAATGATCTCAAAACGACTAGTCACTGAAAGGCCGCTGTTGCAAAAGGCTATAGGGTATTATGTTCAATTCGTAGGTCTTTCCAGTATTTAGATGATGAAATGTTTGGATTACTATACCCGATTTATGTGCGACCACATTTAGAATACGGGATTCAAGCAGCGAGTCCTTGTTTCAGATATGAAGCAGATATGCTAGAAAGAGTTCAACGACGAGCTACTAAGATGGTACAAGGTCTAGCTGGCCTATCTTATGAAGACAGACTGAGACACCTTAACTTATTCCCGTTATCTTACCGTAGAGTACGGGGTGATCTAATATTGGCTTATCGTATACTGAACGATGACCTTGGTATTAACATGTCTTATCTTTTGTTTCCGTGTAGAACCGATCATTTGAGAGGACATTCGAAGAAAGTTCAAAAACCGAGATCAAACCGTTTACGTCTGGAGTTCCGTTTCTCGCACCGAGTAGCGAATTACTGGAATTCCCTACAGGAACACGTAATATCAGCACCGTCTGTTAATATATTCAAAACGAGATTGGACCTCCACAGTATTACAAACTGCAAGGATTAATATAGGACGACAGACCTCCTATCCTTATTATTATTGCAGACTGAAGACTGATCAGTGGACTGATAACGCGCTACTTTCTTTTTCTAGGTCACTTAGGTATGAGTGTTTCCGTACCAAAGAAGTCTGAACCCTCAAAGATATCTGATTTAATTGATTTTTGCCCGACTCTTAATTTGTATTTAAAGCCCATAGCTCGAGTGTGTATTACAGTTCAGATCCCTCTTCTTCATGATACATCTGGCCAGTTAAAGTCGTTTACTACATGGGAGATCATTGAAAAAATTCGGCAACTATGTCCTGGAATTCTTGCACCATCCACTGTTATGAAAGTAGTCCACACTACATTGGAATTTGTTAGGTTCGCTGTTGACTTGGAAAACAAAACCGACGTCAGGCGCGTGGTTACAAGTTTGGAAAGTCAGGTAACCATACTTCATAAGAACGGTTTTGTATACATTAAGGCCAATCAGGGTTTCTTCCTCTATTTTTAAATTTGTCGTCACTATCGGCTATTATATGTGATTACATAAGCCTTATGCATTTGTGCGTAAGTAGAAATAAATTCAATTCTTTAGATAATTTTGTTTTGTGGAAGACTGAAATTGCTCAGCTTATTTATTAGCAATCCTTATTATACTTATATAAAGCTTTTATCGCAACGAATCGGTCATAGTTTCAGCTACTCTAGGTGCTAATTGTCAGGAGTGTTATTATTATTATTATTATTATTATTATTACTAGAAGCTTTATTCAACATTATATTTTTGATACAACATAGAATCCTCAGCATAAAGTATTTCAACAAGTTTCCGTTTTTTATATCTTGATTGATTGTGATGATAAATTTTGAATGATGACCAGTTAGATGTTGTATGTAAAATATATTTATGTTGTCTGTCGAAGCTAAATTATCATGTAATCCCGCTGCAACTATAATCATTGCGTTTAGAAACCGATGTGAATCTATGATGCTTAATTGCTCAGTTTTACCTTATATTACACAAGTTTCTTTTTGTGGATTAAACGATTTATTAAATTTGGACTCTTTCTCAATTCAGGTTCAATGCAAAAAGTTAGGAACAGTTTGAACCTAGGTTTTTCTTAAACTTTTGAATTCAGCATTTCGAAGATGGTGTGTGCTTTCTATCCGAGAAATTTGACACAAGACTGTTTAACACTGCACTTAAATGCATGTACTGATGTAAAAATTTGTTGAAACTTATGAGGTTGATAAATAAAATCTATGAAATAATATTGAAACCAGTGACTCAAATAAGTATGAAATAATTACATCCACGCTACGGCAATCAATTCTAAATACTACCCGTGATTCATAACCACAAATTACGGTTGCCATATACATCTCAGGTGTATTTGTGTAAATATTTGTTTCCTGAACTTGTACATCGATGTGTAACATTAAATAAACCTATTCTTCTATGTATTAAGTTCTGTTGGATGTCAGGTGTTAGATGTTAATACGATCAGTGAATGTAGCTACAGTAGTTTGTATAAAAGAAATTAAAATACCCGTTCCAAGAGTTGATTAATCTTACACTCGAATAAGGTAAGACTACATTTACTTAGTGTCTTGCTTTTTGGGTCAATAGTGGTTATTAGTACTCAGAAAGTTTATGCAAGTACTTTCCTTGACGGCAAATGACGTTCATGATAACGAGTGACAGTGAGGTTATCCAAAATTAATTCAAATTCAATTTTTTCTTAAATCAAGATACTTCTATATGACTATGAGTACTTTGTCTGTAGTTGCAGTGTAAACATTCTTCGTACTGCTATCTTTTCCCACATGACCTCCGATCCTAAAACAATTAGAAAAACAGTCCTTAATACATTTGGTCGCTTAATCTCTACTCAAAAACAACATTTTACTGAACGATATTTGGATATATGTGCTTAGAGAATAATTTTAGTAACCACCTCGGATTTGATAAATTAATTACTGGTCTTCAGTTTCAGTTTAGAAAGGATAAAAGGGTGGAAGGGTTGTGTTAGTCCTAGTTGTGAGGTCCACTCAGTTTACCCAACCTACTTTTTAATAACGAAAGAAGTTGAAACTATCCATCGAGACAAAGATTTCCACTTGCTGATAATTCAGTAGGAAAGTTGGTAGTCAGGTTATTTGTTCAGAATTTTCTCGCAGTATCCTCATTAATGTCCTGTTCTGGGAGCCGAATAAAATGAAGGGATTATGGAGGAGTTTGCCGGATGGACGAGTTTTAGATTGTTAAAATGGATGACCATAGATGATATCCGATTGTACCGTTGACGCTGTGATGGCTGTTTACAAGATCGGATCACTGACTTCAACCCTCTAATAAGCTGAGATCAAAGACAGAACCACTAATCGGAAGAATAAGTTTTTATCTAATGAAATATCATCCTTATGTATTGGTTCTGAACAAAAAAAATCAATATGATTAAATATCAGAGGTTGTTGGAGGGAATCAGTTTCGTGGGTCACTCACTAATGAGTTTAAACCTGCCTATTAGACTTAATTATTACCAGTCACGTGACAGGATATGTCATATCAAAAGTTACCACTACGTAGTTTAAAGACTGTAATCAGTTGACCTCTAGTACTTTTATATGATAATGGGAACATAACATAATTTCTTCATATCATCGGTTTACAATTTCCAGAACCAACTTAGCTGCAGTTTTTTAAACTGGTTCCGACAGTTTACTTTTTTAGACAGGAACTGGCTGTTTATATCCAATTCTCACATTTTTCGGACAAATACTACATACAATTTGCGAATATCTTGGCATTCAGGCAACCGAAAGACCTGGGTATTCCATAAAGAATTCTAAAACTTCTGGTAAACACTGGATGGGAGTGTACATTGGTTTTTAAATCTTGACTTATAACTATTTTGATTACTATTCGTTTAGACAAAGGGTAACTCAATACTACTTATCTTTTATTTTGTTGGTAAATAACTGCCTAAGTTCTACCGGTTCCATTTTAACATGGATAAGTTGTTGACACTTTCTAGGATTTTCCATGAGCATATTTATTTAAAATTTATCATCAATCCGTTATAGTTTATCAAGCTAAGTGGATTTCCACAAAACCTTCGTGTTCGCGCAAGTGAAGCTCCATATGACTGTCCAAGACGTCATGATTGGGAAGCGTTTTTTCGTGATGCTCAAAATATGGATGAGACTAAATCTGGTGAGAGGCCTGACACTCTTGTACTCACTGGTCTTCCTATCAGATGGTTTGCGAGTGGATCACACAACAGACCACGATTTCGCGTTAATAGTGATGACACTAACAGCAGCTATTTATCCCTTTTGGTTGACGAAGAAAAACCTGATCCTTCGATTGTAAAAGAAGCATTTGAAGTAAGTATAAGTTTTTTATGGTAATTTTTGTTCCTTTTTTATAATATTTACATTCTTTCTCATTAAAATGTCACTGACTATAAAACTCAAGTCAAATTTCGCTTAAATATAATGTGATAGTACAATCTCAGCCAATACGTCAATTTCGTAGTTTGTTACTTTAGCATTTGACCTTCAACCATTGAGTCACGTGTTCGAACCTCGCCTTTGTATCAGATTTCAGACATATATACATATAGCTCATAGTTTACTGCATAAATCTCCACATTGTTGCGAAGTTTTATTGAGTGCTATCGCCTTAATTTTCGCAAGTGGTACATATTTGTCATACATGGTAGTGTAATTAGCATATGATTCCAATCTTATTGTTTTTAGGTTGTTTATTAATATTCCATTAAACAAGTATTATCTTTATTGTTATTTCTTTTACTTTTGAGGTATTTGGAAAAATTCGGGAGATTGATATTCCAATGTTAGATCCTTCACAAAATCCTGATTGCTTGGAAGATTATATAAATAGCTATGACACTTTAAATAGTTCATGTGATACATTAAAAACGGACACTTCAGTTAACAAACCCATTGAATATTCTTTCCGTAACGGTTCTGGCTGTACAGAGGAATATATCGGTGGGTTTGGAAAAATTGGTCCGGATACAATTGGAATTTTAAATCCAACTGTACAACACAGTGTAATTAATTCGTCTTCAGCGGACTCTGACAAATCAAAAGTATCTCATTTGATGAAGTCGAGAAACTCCAATATATTGACTAGTCCAACTAATACAAGTGTTGGTAGTCCACTTACATTCATAGCATATGTACAATATATGGATTATACTGGATTTAGCCGTGCTATGGACATGCTGCGTGGTCAGAAACTTGTTTATGCTCCAACTTATCGAAGTCAGTCATCAGCATTGGCAGATCAGAATGAAAAGTTGTATTATGCAGCTGAAATTAAGGTAAATCAATTCATTACCAGTCTTACAATTTCAACCCATCAAAAGTAAGATAAGAATCGATTGAAGTAATTTCTCCTAATCATAATATACAAAAAGAAGTTTATACTTCATATTATTAGTTACTCTAAATATTAGATTGCCATCAACAGAGTCAATAACAAGTAGGAACCTAATATAAGGTTTTTCTGTATTTTTGAAGAAAGATTACCGCCCATCAAGTCGGTATTTGATGTAAGATGCTACGTAAATCTTACTGTTAACAAGCAACTTATTGTATAACGAACAAGATTCTGTTCGATGTCTAACGTAAAAGTATATAAACAATATCACAAGTGGATCATTTTCGTAAACAGCACCCCCGCCACGAGAAGGCACTGAGTAGGACTTCCCTGGCAGAGACTATATACGCGTGGCTATGTGAGAGCATTTCGAGAAGTAGAACGGACTCTCCCCACTCTCGGCTGTACCAGGGCATTTGGGGGCAATGAGAATAAATTAACGAGATAAACAACAATGGTGCCGAAATAATCACAAGATAAATGATTGTAGAGAAGTTTGGACATAAGGAATATTGTAGAATGAAGAAGTGAAATGAGAGAAGAAGTGATGATCAGAATTAACCGAAGTAAATCCTGAGAATTCGTTTTCAAATTTTCGTTGATAATTATCAGCAGCTTCGGGAAAATGCTTCTTCCCTCAGAGATAAAAACTTTATCATATAAGACTTCAACTGTTCGCGTTTTGCGAATCACAACTTTCAATAAACGTAAAATTTTAAGTGATAACTTGCCTACTAATTGTTTGACAGTATCAAATACGAAACATAATAAAGTTTATAAAACGTAAAATGTTGTTATATAGAAATAATGAGTACGAATTTCAGTAGTAAATTGTCACTCTCAAATATGTATGTAAGATTGAAATTTTCGGGAAGATATTATGTATTGTTTATAACTAATACACTCGATTCTACTGTAACTTGGTTAAACATCATAATTGACTCACAATACAGATTTATACTTAACTTGGTTTTGTAAGTCAAAATTTTATTGGTTTAATGAACGGATTTTCAACTGTCAAAGTAAGTGAAAAGAACTTTTACTCAGCGATGATCTACGAATGATAGCTGTTCAGAGAAATTATTGACGTATGCCTTTGGATAATTTAAAATAAAAAATAAGATTACTAGCCAAACGAATAAATTTTTTATGTCATAAAGTCACATGCTTATATTCAAAATTTTAACATATTGTATTCTATAATGTCACGGACGATTGGAGGATATAAATTTGTAGGTCACTCATTCTTCATTGCATCACTTGAATTATTTGATACTCTATTAACCAACTGAACAAACAAAAATGAGTTTATTTGCTGGAAAAAATTTGTGGATATCTTTGGGGGAATTCAGTGTAGTCTAAAATAAAATCAACTCTTAAAAGGATGACAATTTCAGGCGTTCAGATTTATTCATTTTCGTTCTCAGAGTAACAGTTTCAAAATAATGTAATAATATATTTATAATAACTCAATAAGTAGAAGGTGAATCTGTGACTGACCAAGAAGTTTGACTTTCAGCCACTAAGTCACGAATTCGAACCCTTCCCTATCCATATCGGTCTACTCAACCGCATAGTATCACTGGTCCTTATGATTGGAGTCTAACTCAAAGCGAAATACATAAACTTGTGTCTGATAAATGGGTTAACAAAAGTGCGTATAAAAGTGAGTTCCTGGTGTTTCACGGCTTAAATGACTAAGTAGCTTCTTCTTCTTCTTCAAAAAATAAATAAATAAAGTAATCAATTAAAATTAACATAATTCTATATAACACTCATTGAAATGTTACAAATGTCTTATTTTTTTAAAAAAATTGTTATTATAAACAATCCATCGAATGTTCAATTTATTTTAAATTATCAAATCAAACCTTGCCAGTAATAATATCTTCATAAAATAACATTTGAAAAAGTTTATTTTTTCACTGTACTTTATTGTTGTTGAAACTATCAAGGTAGATCAAACAGATTATAACAATTAATAGTCAAATTTGTTAGAAATCCTTAAATAGATAAAAATAATAAGTGTTTGTCTGTTCATTTAAAACAAAATTTAATAGACTCGCTAAGAATCATTATTATTATTATTATTATTATTATTATTATTATTATTATTATTATTTGTTCCTTGACCCGATCAATTTTTTAAGTTCAATAAAAATATATTGTATAACAATATTGTTCTCTTCGGAATAAAAGGAGACAGATAAAAAGTTACTTCCATACACAATAGTAAATGCTCATGTATATATAAACAAAAATATAAACCTTGTTTCTATGGTAAACTTTATAATTCTACAAGTCTCGATAATAAGGTTGATTAAATAGTAATAATAATAATAACTATTATTACGGGTATTTTCAGAAGGCATTTTAGTTTATATGGTTGGTTAAAAGTGATATTGACCCAAACAAAAATCAATGAAACTTCTTGGACAGATGAAAACACCCTACTATTTATATTTTGGAAAAAAAATTGTGTATTATTATTATTTTCATAAATTCGAAACGTTTTTCTCTTATCTATCGATGTCCTCTTTGTTGTGGTGGTTTATGTTGTATACTATACTATACTATGTTTTTATGAGTTATCTGTATGTCTTTCATAGAGTTCATCGTTTGTGTGTGGGCTGTGATACTGCCCGGGTGCCCAAACCGAAGCAGGTGGTTTTCTTAGGGGGCCACCCCCCGAGCCTTTGACCTAAAGGTCTAACCCACAAGGCAGTGGAGCATCGTAAGGAGATGCAGTCCCATGGTAGCCGGTGACCAACGATTGGTTCATACGCCATTCGTTCCCGCAGGATACTGGAGCCCATGTGCACCATTGATTTGGAATCCGGTTAAAGCGCCGGACATTCGCTTTTCGTCCTCTCATTTTCGTAAACAACACCCCCGCCACGAGAAGGCAATGAGTAGGACTTCCCTGGCAGAGGCTGTATACGCGTGGCCGTGTGAGAGTATTTCGAGAGGGAGAGCGGACTCTCCCCACTCTCGGCCGTACCAGGGCATTCAGGGGGCATGAAAGAAAGCTGCAAAGGACTGGCTTGTGTCGGTCCTTCACGACTCCCTGGTTGGGGTCCGAGAGATGGTGCTACACAGTGGCTAGAGACGTTATCAGATATGGCTCAGAATAGAAGCCAGTGGCGATCCTGCTGTAACCTTTTACTTTCTTCATAAAAAGTGGTTGTCTTCCTTAACTGAAAGATTTCTTCTGATTGTACCTCTTCGTCATTACTCTCCTTTTCTTTTGCGTTCCTTAGTTTTTTTTTTTTTTTCTTTCTACTTCTCTTCGAATTCCCGTTGTTTTGTGTGGCGCATATATATTGGCGCTCTCTTGTACCAATATTTATGTGTTCAAATAAATAAATAAATAAATAAATCTGTATGTCTGTATATTATTCGTGTATTGGAAGTTAATTTTTACTGTGAACTATTGTCAATTAAAAAATAGGTGATAAAAACATAATGAACATTGGATAAATGATTTATCCTGGGTTTCTGATTGAAAACACTGGCTTATGAAGTTACCTATATTAAGATGAAACAGTTATCCAGTACTTTCAGGTTTTCGATGGTGGTCTAACTAAGATTAATTCGTCATTTAAAAATATTAAAAATTCTGCAATCTCTACAAATCCTGTTATGCAAACATTATTTAACAAAATTCAAAAAGTGTGTATACGTATTAGATAATTTAAAAACAAACAAACAAAATAAACAAGCTATACAACACAGTAGGTTTTTTTTATTTAAATAAAATTAATTAACATGTGACAATTAAAGATTCATTTTGTATTAAAAAAACAAATTGTTTATCAGAATAATACAACAGAATGTATTATTATTAATACTATTACTATTATTATCACTATTATTATTATTATTATTATTATTATTATTATTATTATTTGTTTCTTCTAAATTTCACATTTTAATATTCTGTTGAAAAATGAAATTCCTGTTATTGTTATTTGATTCATATCTTAGTACTTTGTGTTATTTTCAAGATAATCATTTTAGATATTCAGCTATCACATTATTTTCCATCTGTTTTAATTAAATAAGCTTTATTGTTACTATTTGTCCTAAGGATTATTATTATTATTATCATCATTAATTTATAGGCCAAGATAATGGCATGGGTTCGTGAAGTCATTGATTGTTAAAGTCTTCAAAGCTCAGTTAGTCAGTCATCTCACTCCTATGCAACAAAAAGCTTAGCATATGTGTTCACTAATACAAGTTTCCACACCATACTATCACAGAAAAATTTATGGAGACAAATCCCACAGTATTAGAAGTAGTGACAATATCAGTATTAACATTAAAGATTAAGTAGCAAAAGAAAAAACAATGTAAGAAAATTTTGAGACTCAAAATCTAACGGAAGACAAAGACTAAATGCATCTACGTCACTGCGACCGATTCCAAACCACTTCATCTAACATATCCAACTACTGGTTACTATAATTGTACGGACCTTAACCACGTGGTCTCTATCTACTTACAAAGCTCAGTCTAAGAGCTAGTAAGTTCATAAATTGATATTACGCCCTAGTTTAACCTCCAATAGCTGTCTCCCAGTCTACTCCTACGCTAGACAACATCGCCTGTCGAGCTAGGAAGTGGTCGGGCACACGTAACACATGCCCCAACCACCTTAGTCGATGAAGATTCACTACATCATCAATACATTTCCCATCTTTACCTAGTATCTTGTGTCTAACTTTGGGATTACTCACTTAGTGGTCCCAACACACACAAGCAATACTTCAGAGTCTCCCATGACCGAATACTAGTAACTGTTATGTCTGGCACTATTATATCTGCTGGGTGCTTAGTTTTTGTTGTTTTCGATATTGATACCCCAGATCCGACGACGCGTAGTGAAAACCAAGGATTTATTTAACTTTCAAAATGTTATATGTATACGCTACTCTTTCTATGATTTATGTACAGTCAGATTAACAATCAAATTTGTATTTGACTGAATGGTATTTAACATCAGTTAATAAATAACCTATTATTTGGGTACGTATTTGCAGTATCATACTGATCGGTTTTCACACTAAATTTTGCTCTTTTGATATCTGCCATCACTGGTTATGACGCACCGTGTCCGAGTCTGATACTGATACATAAGCTTCCTATAACAATGCCTTCAACTAACTATTGAGTGGGAAAACTAATAGTGAAGGACTCATATACTCCTTGGAAAATGAAACCATTTCTTGCATAATAATATGCCCTTGTCATTAGGAGATTTTCGATTGGCACAACATGGCCTTGCCACTCGGTAAATTATAATTGGGTCGTCGTATCACCTTCATATCTTGGAAACAGATTCGACTGAGAACATTAGAATGGATGCATATTAGTAATCTATGAATGTCCTCTGATTTTAAAGACTATGTTCATAACCATAAAATAAGATAGAGCAAACTACTACTTAATAAACTTGTCCTTGAGATAGTAAGTTGTCATATGTGATTGCAGAATATAATTGGTTCCAATTACACAAATTTACTACCCTTTTTTTACTTTCATGTGAATGTTGAGTTTCGATACAGTTTCACATTTTTGTCGATATTATTATTGCGAAATTCGCTTCCTTGATTCTTCATTTTGTATTTATTTCTCTTTGTCGGTGTTAATGTGAAGTGTGACGACTTACTGAGCAGTTATACATGTGCACGAAGTAATAAGTTGCGTTTATGGCTGATCCACTGAATATATATATATATATACATATATATATATATATATATATTGCTTACGCCTGTTACTCCTCGTTGAGGAGCATCGGCCACCCGCCAGCACTCGCCATTCAATCCTGTCCTGGGCAATCTCTTCCAGCTCTTTCCAGTTGTTATTCGTCCTTTCCATATCGGCCTCTATTTCCTGATGCAATATGTTCTTTGGCCTTCCTCTTTTCCACTCCCCTTCAGGATTCCAACTTAAGGCTTGCTTCACGATGTAGTTTGGTGATTTCCTTAATGTATTTCCTATCCATTTCCATCATCTATTCCTAATTTCCTCTTCAGTTGGGAGCTGGTTTGTTCTTTCCCAGAGAAGGCTGTTGCTGATGGTATCCGGCCAATGGATGTTGAGTATCTTGAGTAGACAACTATTTATAAATACTTGTACCTTCTCGATGATGGTTGTAGTAGTCCTCCAAGTTTCAGCTCCGTACAGTAGAACTGACTGCTTTGACGTTCGTATTGAAGATTCTCACTTTGATATTGGTTGAAAGTTGCCTTAAGTTCCATATTTTCTTCAACTGTAGGAATATGGCCCTTGCTTTGCCAATCGTCATCTTTACGTCTGCATCTGATCCTCCTTGTTCATCGATGATGCTTCCCAGGTACGTATATGAAGGATTCTACATCTTCCAGAGTTTCGCCATCAAGAGTGATTGGATTGCTGTTCTCCGTGTTGTATTTGAGGACCTTGGTTTTCCCCTTGTGTATATTGAGGCCTACTGATACAGAGATTGCTGCTACACTGGCTGTCTCTATCTGCATTTGTTCATGTGTATTGGATACGAGGGCTAGGTCATCTGCGAAGTCCAAATCGTCTAACTGGTTTTGAGCTGTCCATTGTATGCCTTGTTTTCCCTCAGATGTCGAGGTCTTCATAATCCAGTCGACCACCAGAAGAAAGGGGAAGGGTGAGAGTAGACAGCCTTGTCTGACTCCGGTCCTTACTTGGAATGCATCCGTCAGCTGTCCTCCACGCACGACTTCGCACTGTAGTCCGTCGTATGAATTCCGGATAATATTGACAATCTTCTCAGGAACTCCATAGTGTCGAAGAAGTTTCCATAATGTTCTCTTATGTACACTTTCGAACGCCTCCTCATAGTTAATGAATTTGATGTATAGTGACGAGTTCCACTCGACGGATTGTTCGACGATGATCCGTTGTGTCGCGATTTGGTCTGTGCACGACCAATCCTTACTGAATCCAGCCTGTTGATATATATATATATATATATATATATATATATATATATATATATATATATAAAACTTTTTATAAAGAAATTAAGTATTTTATCATGTCATAATTTCTGTTTTATTTACTATAAATTCATTTATTATCCATTTATTGAAAAGTATATTTTAAACAATTATGGTCACTTTAAAACAAATATAACAATTAAATATAAAAATCTTACTGTTTTTTACAAATTTATTCATTCACAAGTTCGATTATTTATTTCAATGATTTTGGAATCAAGAAGAAATGAATGAGTAATTATCTTGTGCTTTTATTCTACCTATAAAAAAATTTGAAACCGAACACTTGGAAAGTTCTTTTTTTTGTTCATGTATATATATGCCTGTATCATTTCGTCCGCTTTTGTGTTTGAGTACTCTCCTTCTTGTTGTGCTGGTTTTTTTAAATCGATTTTTCTTTATAAACCTCTATGATCGACCTTTGCTTTTCATACTGCATGACCGAAAGTAAAGGAAGCCTGCCTATGTCATTAAATTTTCACAAGTTAATATAAAACAAAAGCTGTTAGTGTCAGATCAGAGTCTAAAATCTCAATTTGTCAATTTTCTAAAGCTATGAGATAGATTTCTGATTATTTTCCAATCAACTCCATCAGTTACTTTCTTTGGTATTAGTTATATATTGTAAAAGATCTCATTTTTTCAGAATTCAAGCAAGATTCTATGGTGACATATATATGGCTCAGAGATTATAATCGAAATATTATACCTAAAATATGTTTGTGAAATGTTGAATTAATAATACAAAGGCATTTGCCTTTCAATCAGCAGGTCTCAGGTTCCGATGCAACCTTTACCTACTTCGATCCTAACAGCCAAATAGTAAGTAGCATTAGCTCACGCACACAAACAATATAGATTAAAGCAGATAACAAACATCTGTCCAGTAAATGGTATAGTTTATTAAGTAAGTCTGTTTTCTGTATAACGCTAAAATGTAATTTAGTAATGAAATCTCAATTCAAAGCGCTATTTACATTTCCTCTTTATTGAATTAGATTGATTTTGATCGAACTAAACACTTATCACCAGATTCTATTCATGCAAGACAAAACAAGCGAAATCAACTACTGATAGTTGCTGAACGTAGACGTGTTGAAGCAAGAACTATAGCTGAAGCAGCGCGTGAACGTTTACGTCTTTTAGAAGATTCAGAGCGTAAAGCCGTAGAACGACGTGAAGCAGAAGCATTAGCTGCTGAAGCTGAGCGTATGGCGAAACGTGCTGCACGAGAAGAAAGTAAACGACAAATTGTAAGTCATTGTTAAGTTTATTAAATGTTTCTCTTTCTCCATGTTTTCTGTTTTTTTCCCAATGTTCAATGATGTAGTTAGTGTAGTGTTTAAACACATTACTGTTGTAATAAAATAATTACAATATCGTGCCAGTTGTGTGGCTCGACTAAGCTTTTTAAACAATGAAAAAGATTTTGGTAATGTTACCTTTCTTTTCGAAAAATAAATAATTTAATAATAAGGTCTTCATTGTCATTCCAGATAGCATCACCAACAAATGACTATTATGGTTTATTCCGCAGACCTGGGATTGAATTGGTTATTGTCGATAATTATATATTCTCACTGCTTACAAACTTATGATGAATGTATGCACAACGACAACAGAACTGTTAGTAATAGCTAATCAAACTCCATTTGGATAAAACAAGCCGTTAGTCAATTGTACAAGGATTTTATTATAGATCATTTGTTTTTGTAGTCTAGACTAATAATTATGTTATATAGAAGGGACGACAGTAAATACTTCATGATTAAATTATGTAGTTGAGAAAATTAAACAACACCAAATGTATGTACCTGTTTACTTTCGTTACATCAAAGTTACTAAGTGATAGCTTTATAAAACTTCGCATCATATACAATGATTGCCCACCAAATAATATGTGGCTTTATTCATTATGGATATGAAGTAAAACTTGAAAGAGGAAACAGGCCACCACAGTTCATCCATAATTGATTAACAACTTATTGTACCAATAACAGTGGGATTTGTACGTGAGTTTGTCATAAGCTGGCGTTAGACAACATTGATCAAGACCTGCATATCTACAGCTGTTGTTTTGTGAAGAAATTCTACAACGACTTTCTCTTTATACAGTTTTATTATAATAGTCAAGCCTAGCAATGAGGATCAAAGATTCACAAGTAAATAATCCCACTTAAAACTAGAAAACGACAATATTGAAATTCATTTCATGAGGCACGATACAAATATTCACTAATCATTCCAAACTTCAATAAGGATTTTGTAGGTATCATTATCAAGGTTTGACTTGATAATATTGAATAAATTGAGCATTCGGTAGATTGTTATAAATTAATTAATATATTTGCAATATCCCAATGAGTAGAAAAATTAATTTTTCTGACGTTTCGTGACTCAATGTAAGTCACTTCTTCTGAGAATAAATAATCAAATCTGGTTATTTATTTATTCAATAAAGAACATACCACTAAGTTAATCGTTTATACCAATGAATGAATTTTTATTCATGAAAATTGTTGAAAATAAATTTTCCAAAACACAATTGATACTATCATTATTTTTATTTATCATAGGCAATAGATAGGTGTAAAACAATTAAAGAAGAATTACTTAAAAAGAAAATATCCCTTGAAGAATACCGTCGTATAGTGGCTATACGTAAAGTGGAGGGTATACGATTAATGACTTTTTTACTAGCAAAAATACAGGTAAGTAACTGAATATATATATATAGATCTACTTGTCAAAATGTTTACTTTTATGGCCGAACACTAATAGACAACAGAACGAATAGTATATTTGGCATGTTACTAGCAGTAAGATGATTGAAAACGCGCGTTTTGACGTGTAATATTAATTATAATCATGATTATCAACATTGAGAAATTACAAACCTTTAATAATACTTTTATAACCATTGGACAAGTTAATGATCATCTGGACCGAAAACCATTGTGTTAAAGTCTCAATGTGAACATTAACGCTGGTATGTAATTAGATCCATCTATCGAGTACCAAATTGAACAAAACCGATAATACTTTTCTCAATTAAATCAAATGATGATTAAGTGATATTCACCACAATTCGTGCAGTTTAACAACGGTGTTATAATAGAATCTAGCATAGGAAATGGACATCATTAGTCTAAGTTGTCATACTTCACGTTGGTTAGTACAACAAGAGATGAAGAAAAAAGGAAAATCAAAAACATTTGAAGTAATAATTTATTTAATAGTAGGTAAGAGTTTAACTTAATCAAATCGGATAACTAGAAGTATAAAGTGATGTAAAATCTTAAAATTTAGGAGGAAGATTAATTAGATTTTCATCTATCTATTTATATCATACATATGAAACCTGGTACATTTAAGTGCCAAACAAATATGCACCACACAAACAAAGAGGATAACATTATGAGGTAAAAGGTAATCAAGTTTACAATAGGAGATATTGTCCAATTAAAAATACAACCGAGAAAGATTCCTTTAAGTTAAAGCACTTTCATTCATTTTTTTAATGGAAAATGTAAAGAAAACTACACCATAGTTACCACTGTCTTCTGTTATGAGTCATATCTTTTAGCACCTCAGTCTACTAAGTTGTACCATCTCTAGGAACCCAGGCATGGTATCGCAACAGACCAACAGTTACCCAGTCCTAAACAGCTTTGTTTTATACTACGGTACTATTTTATAAATTGAACACCTCTTGGCTTTTTCTATATTGTCCCAGTGTCACCAATCAATGCCCGGTGTGAAAGACACTGAAATGGAATTTTTAAAACATTATCATCCCAATAAATTTAGTGTTTCAAGATGGTGACATCAATTGGATTTGTTCATCTACACTATTATGGCTATTTTTCTTTCAGACTAGTGATAATATGACTTAACTAACTGATAAACTAGATTTTTTTTCCGTCCGATCATATCTAATCTTTTCCCAACAGTCTTCCCTACGCGATTTGAATGGGTTTTCAACTGAAATCAGTTCACAATGAAAGCTAACTTCATATAAAATTTTAGAAAAAAAGCCTCTATACAGTTTACACTTATCCGGCTACACTAAACTATTTGAATATTGTCTTTCAAAGTTTTAAAACAGTGCTTAAAAGTATAAGTAGTGAATGTAGGTGTATTGTTACATTTTTTATTTATTGTTCGATTTATGTATATTTTCTTAGGCTCGTCATGATTTAATCGTGGCTACTAGACGTCTTGATCGTATTTCAAAAGCAGAAAAAGCTTTAGCCGAAGCAGAAGCTAATGTCAATGTTGCCTTATCCAATGCATCACATAATAATAATAATATTCGAACAACACCAGCCAAAGCTGATAATCAGTTAGAGATATGTGGAGAGAAAGATTCTAATAAGATCTGTTCACAATCTGGTTTACCACCCCTAGTTAATTCGTCTCCTGAATCTGTTGAAGATGAAGTAGGACAAAACTCACAATTTCAACAATTATTAAATAAACGTGAGGAGTTTCTACGAAATAACTTATTACGTGTAAGTTCTTTTGTAATCTTATCGTAATTATATAAAAATTAATTTCATGCATTGCTGTAAAGATTATTAATCATCTAATGTAGACTATTGTATATCAAGTATACTATAGTAGTAACGTGGCAGAAGAATGTCTGCTCTAAAAAAAGCCTCAATTCAATTCTCATATATACACACAGTTCATGATAGATAGCACAGTAAAAAACAATCCATGTAAAGTAGAAAAGGATAGTATGACAAACATACGGGACATAATTGAAAGATATGTTGAAGATTTCTAGCACGATTAAAAATGAATGGACCTATGGGGTTACGGCAGAATTTCAGTCAGACTATCCAGAGCCTTAATAATTATGATCAGTTTATTCAACATTAAATGTTTAGTAAAATATGAAATTTTCAGCACATGTTTGTAATAAAAGTCTGATAGAAATTTTCTGAACCGTTCACTTCTTAGTTATCATCTCTTGAGATAAATTTCCGTCACTTGATACAAATTATTTATACTTTTTAACACAGTCAAGTTGAGATATCTTGTTTTAGCGGTTATTTTCTCAACAGTTCAGTACATCGTCATAAAACCTCTGGAAACAGTCAAGTAACTGAAGTCTTTCATTTATTACTGTCCTGATTAAAACTAAAAGTTATTAGTAAATATTTGATCAGAACTCGATATCCCAGTTAACTGTTTTATATAAAACGAGTTATTCTTCAATATGATACGTATGTGGCACTGTTTTTATATAAAACGATGAATTCATTTTTATGGCCTAGGTTTATCGCGATAGGCTCAGGTCCATGGGTATATCGATCGTATTTTCACTCTGTCAAACTTAAGAGCACCACCACATTCATTGCAGGTTAACAATAGTTGTTATTCTTGATATCAGAGACGCCTTCAGTTCGTTGGAATGGACTTTGTCTAGTATTATTTTGAAGTAGGGTGTTTTTGCAGAAATTGCTAATATCTTGAAGGTTTTGTACACAAACACCTTATGCAGAATGAGGGTATGCAACCAACTCTGTCCATTATTTCATTCATGCGGTGGGGTTATCTGATTCCACCATTGCTCTCCACCTGTATCATCGATAACGTTCTAAAAACAGCTCTGATGGATTTAGGTAATATTGGTGTAGATTTTATCGATCTTGAGTATATGGATGAAACTGCAGTCCTGTTCAATCGTACACTAACTATAAAAGTGGCACTTAATTAGTTGTCGATCTGTTTCCTTTAGGACGGCAAATCGGACCTAGTTGCAAAGTACTTTTATAAGATTGTCATGAGTGCATACCAGCACTCACTCTGAAGTGGACCGTTAGAAGTAAAGAAGCGCGTCTATCAGGTTATTTGTGTGTGTTGGTAGTGAGTTAAATGAGATCAGCGTACATTAATCAAAGCCAGAGCGGCGTATGCCATCTTTGACGCCTTCGTGATGTTAGTCTGACTTCAAAAGATTGCGTTTACAATGCATTGGTAAGAGCACCTCGACTCTATCCTCGCAACAATGTGCAACTGTGAGCCGATGATGTTAGACGACTGTGTTCGGCCATCGTTGTCTCCGAAGGTTTGCTGACTGAGACAAGTCAATCCTCATAAAATAAATATTCTGATATTCATTTGTTTTGATCTTATATCTTTTTTCCATTATTCTATTTAGCTCATAACTTCACTAAAATATGATTGCCAAAAATGTTAGAAATATATATCTAATATGCTTTTGTTAAGAGCCCTCAAAAGTCTTCAAAAGCTAAGGAATAGGCTAAAAAAATTCAGTAAGCGGATATTGGACAGACATTTCCAGAAAAACAACAGATAATAATTACACACCTTGGTACTAAATTTAGTATGTTTCTCGCTTTTTGTCTTTTATTCGGCGTTCAAGTGTACGAGAATTCTCAGGAAACGAGGCAGTTAGAAGGTCAGTTTCTAGCGTCCAAGTACTAGGTGTAACAGTTATACGATCATTGAAGAAGAAAGGCCGTCCAGCGAAAACTTTTTTCGACGATTTCGTTTACTTAAGCTGTACAATCGTGCTTAAAGTTAATTTTATTTGCTAAAATAGTAGTCTATATTCAAATGGAATATTTAAAAACTTGAAATGGTGTCTTGTCATCGATTAAAATCAGATATTGAAGGGAAGTTACGTAAGGTGAAGATAACTGTCCACGTGATGACTATTAAAAACAACATAATTGAGAGTTGTAATAGTTACTGATTAATAGTTGTGAAAATAATTAGGAGTAGAAATAATGGAATAAAAAACGATCGATTATGAAAGATAGAAAGGCCAATTATGACCATAGAAGAGTGAGGGACTGAATATACTGTTTTTGTACGCAAAGGTTAGGCTTAGCACTAACCTCTGCTCTACATAAGTTTTTCATTTGCGTTCCTATTGAGCCGACTTTTCTGACTATATGATTTTGAAAGCTTTTGGTAAAGGGGAGTGGCCAGAACTAGCTAGATGTTCCAAAATTGAGCTTCTAAATGACTTCTGCAATCATTTAGAAAACCAAACAGGATGACGTTCGGAGATGCGTTTCGAAGAAGCTCGTTTTTTGTGGCGAACATAACCTGCTCCACGTTGACAAGTAAACTGATAAATGCACACTGATTTGGCCCAAAGTGTGAGCTTATCCTTCAACAACTTCGAATCATAGGCCGACTAGAAAAGATAATACAAAGTTCAGTCGAATAGAATATTTTTCACAGAGATCTCGAAAGTCTGTCTTTCAGAATTTTTGTTGTATTACCTCCCTTAAATTGGATATTTATGAAGAGAATCTCCTTTAGTGTTATGGACACTCACGTCGTTGTTTCGGTTTCAGGTTTTTCTTAATGGCATTCAATAAATAAATAAATAACCGAGTCAAAATTAATTTTGATTTGGTTATTTATTCTCTGACGAAGTGGCTCATACTGAGTCACGAAACATCAGAAAATTTAATTTTTCTACTCTTTGGGATATTACAAATATATTAGTTTATTTACATCAATATACCCAATGCTCAATTTATTCGAAATTGTCAAGTCAAACCTTGATAATGATACCTATATTCAATGGATATTCATTGTTGATCAATATCTGACGTAGCTTATAAAGTTCGATATCGATCGTGTCCTCTGTACATTTTTTCTTCGCTGAATTGCTTTCTTTCTTCAAGTTATACGATCAACCCATTCATTAATGATCCGGTCAACAAATGCCCAAAACTCCAGGGTCTTTGGTGAAGCTTTTAAGTAATTCACGACTTATTAAAATATATTAATGGAGATGACGCATTAAAGAGAACTTCCCAAGTAGATCAGGGATTTTAACAATGGCTGCGAAGACTTCAAGGATAATGTAAAACCAATGTGACAATCAAGCTCCTCCGTTAATAAAGACGTTAATTATGATCTTTTACGCTTACTGATCGGAATGGCTGCTGATCTAATAAATGTAAGAAAACTGCGGGGAAATAGAAAATTCGATGAGAAAAAGTAAAATAGTAGGACAGTTGAAGAGCCTTCTTTTCAAGGATTTTTGGAGATGTATTCTGAACAACAAAAACGAGATAGGATGAGTCTATTGCTGATGTGTGGGCGAGAATGATTGGTTGTTTGCGTAGTCAGACTAGTAGATAGTTCGACAGGTGTTAGATGAGTCATATATTCTTCTACCCTTATAATTATTATTGTGTTGTCGGTTTTTGTTGTGAAAATATACTTACGTTCTAGTCACATGTTCTTGACACGAGTTGTGTTAAAGTCCTGTAGAATAGACATTCGGAAGGTATCTAGTGTAGATATTCTTCTGAGGTAAATTAACGCCCCATTTGTGTATACGAAGAAAACCGAGAGTTATGACAATTGTTCTACATGTAAATTATCCTTTTGAAATAGACATTGACGAACACTAAGTTTTTTAAATTGTAAATAGTCTACTTTGTATTGAAAAGTCGAAGTTAATGAGCGGTTTTCTTTTGGAAAATCCCTTGAAGGTATTCAACACCACAGAGCGAAACGAATAGTTGGGTCATTATTCTGTATAATCTACTGGAATTTTTTTTATCAAGTGACATAAATCCTATGTTAGTGATCATTTCACTTTCATAACCACGCAATTTATGATTTAATAACTGGCTATTTCCCTTGTTCTGATTGACTACTTATAAAAAAGAACAAAGGCCGTTTCGAACTCTAGTATTGAACGTGTAAGTTATCTTAACAGCGAAGATCAAGGATTCATCATTAGCGGTCCCATTGAGTAGTAGCATATCCTAGAATATTTTAACGCAATTTCTATTATTTGATTTACTTAGTTTTTCTATTTTGTTCTAGAAACGAGCTGAGATATTACGAACACAAATTTATGAACGATCAATCATGTACAATCCAACTTTTCCTGGGTATAGAGGACGCATTCAACTAAATCGAGAGAAATACTGAAAATTTTGTTTTTACTTATTACTCATTTAATTGATAATGAGGTTGTTTTCTATTTCAAAAAAAAAACGTCTGTACAGTTTATTAGATTGTACTTTTTACTGATTCAACACCATCATGTACCTGTGCTTGTCGTTAAGTACTTTGTCAGTGCAGTGTGTCTAAAGTATCTAAAATGTGTAAACATTGAACGAAACAAAATCTGTACACATGGAATAAGAATACACTATACATAATGAAACTACGTGGTTTCTTTTCTACTTTGACACAACTAACCTATCGTAATCAAAATCTAGTTATTCGGAATTTGTAACAGAATAACTTATTTTTATTCACAGGATTTTCTAAGAAACGAAAGATTTCCCGATTACCTCTATTTCTCAAAGCATTAATTACATAAAAATATGTTGACTGCTAACTGATAAAGTCCATCTAAAAGGTAACGTCCCTTCTATTTCCTAATGCGGGAGACGTGACCATCCGTAGTAATAGAATGTAGGTTTTCACGTCTACTTTTCTGAGCTATATGTTTGATTGCGAAACAAAAGTAGTCAGCAACTTTGACTACCCCACGTAAACGTATGAGACAGTACTACAACTGGCTCTGAACGCGCAGCATAGCAAAAATCACGCATTTCATGACAAGTACTTTGAGTCTAACCAATATTCAGCCGACCATCCTTCCCCGAAATACTAGAGAATTGGGTTGGGGTCAGTATTCACTGAAAGAAAACCTGACCCCGAAGGATCAATTTTATTGTGTAAAATTATGTCTTTGTAGAATATGGAAACAATCCGTCAAATACACTTTACACATTTTAAATTTTCTTAAAAATCAAACTGTTGCTGCCACCTTAAGTTGATGAACAGGCTTGTCAGCCGTAATGAACCAATCGAGCTATATTGGCTGGAACAACCGTTCCTCAAGATCCTACAATGTCAGACAGGTCGATTGAAGAGCGGTAAAACTAAAAGCAACAAACTCAAGGTCCGAAGGCGAAGTCATACTGCTGACTGTACAGAGGTATGACAGCAGTAAGGTGTTTCCTCCGGACAACCATCATAACAGCGATGTTGCTTCCCCACGAGGAGGGGTGGGGTTAGAAAAGGTCCACCCAAAAATGCACACTCCGCCTTACCCCACGGATGTCCGTCTTCGGTGATAAGGTCTCAACAAGTACGGAGCTAACAAAAATGGTTGTGTGTGGTTGACCTCAAGCAGTTGTCCCTTGGGCACTACGGTCTCGCTCTCAGGTCGCTAAGACCACCTCTAATCCAATTTCCTTTTCAGGTACCTCCAGAAGAACCCTTCCTCGGTGTGGGCAACCGGGAAGTGATAACCGCCCTCATACCTCTAACAGCACTCAAGACCACTGTATTCATAATCAACCAACCTCTTCAATTCCTGTTATTCCTCCTACATCGACTTTCAACGCTAAACTTCCTCTTTCGGCTTCCTTCTCAAATGTCACCATAGCCAACGATTCTAGTGCTCAAAACATTGTCCCAGGTCTACTGAAACCTCGCTCCAAACTACACATTGGAGCCTCCAACGTACGCACCCTATGTCAAATCGGTCAGCAGGCTTCCCTGGCTAGAACCCTAGAATCTCGTACCATTCATGTATGCTGTGTCCCTGAAACACGAGTACAAGATCCCAGTGTGGTCATTCACTTGACCTCACCCCGGCAAGACGAAGAGCCAACGAGATACACCCTCCGTGTATCTGGTGACCCGATGGTCAGTTCTCGTGGACTGGCAGGTGTAGGCATAGCACTAAGCATGAGGGCGGAACAAGCACTGTTAGAGTGGATCCCCGTTAACAGTCGTTTATGTGCTGTTGAGCTAAAAGGCTCCGTAAGAATTCGGAAGGATAGGGACACACGTCGTTGCCTTTTTGTCGTTTCTGCCTGTTGTATCCCGATAAGAATAATGAATCGTAATTTTTGGGATCCATTTATGGACCAATATTATGAGCATATTTTTATCGTATAATTATTATGTAACTAAACTGTTCATATTCATGCCCCTCTTATTATGAGCTTTATTTTGACCTATGAACCATTATTATACGTTTTACCATTCTTGAGTTATAGCCAGTATATTGATTACTACCTCCCTCATTCACAGCCACATCTGGCTAGTTCTTGTACAAATGTTGTTTCATACTTTATTGGTACGTTGTGGTCGGTTTGTTTGGTATATAAACTCAGTATGCTTGAAATATAATGATTCATATCTCAGAGGCTGAGACTCAAATGGCTGGGCTAGAGAGGGGAGCGGGACCAATCAGAACTCCAGGCCGTTCTTACGTGTTTACGCGTCTTTGATCCGATCAATAATACGCTGTCCTTTAATCTTCAGACACAAGTTATAGCACTGCCTACGCTTCCACCGACTGCAGCTCAGATGATGTGAAAGATGAATTTTACAGAAAGCTAAAGGCTGAGACAAAATACTCGTAGCTAGTGAATTTAATGCCCAGCTAGGTAGCTTAAAGAAAGCAGAAACATAATTAAGTACGTTAACTCATACACAGCATTAATCTGCTGTCTATTTTTAGCTGCTTTACGTCTTCTAAGACGTGTTGTCCATATGAAAGAAGAATTTTATAATCGTTATTTGATCAAAAACAATCTTTTTAAACCAGTTTTGAAGCTCTTCGTTTCCAACGGATATCGTTACAACCTGTTGGACTCAGCTATTATCGAACTTTTTGACTATATTCGCTCTGAAGAAATAACTTCATTAATTACCCATATAATAGAAAATTATTGGGATATTTTGAAAAATATAAATTACGTACAAACGTTTACCGATCTAAAACGAGCATACGATCACAGTCATCGTTCAGTTAGGACTGTTGTTGGAACTGTAACCCAGCAAGCGACATTAGATGTGTAAGTTTTATTTGTTTGAACTTGGTAGCAGTTTGTCTGCGTTATTTCTTTTTGTTATCAGTGGGATTATAAAGTGAGGGCACTTGTTGTACAATTTCTTAAAGAAATATCCTATAACTATCAATACATATACTGTCGGCTTGAAATCATTCATTTAAAGAGGAGTATCTACTTATTTTCAAAATTCAAATAAGTCTTGATTGCCGTTAAGTTATTTGGTGTCGTTAACCTTCATTAATGGATAGAAAGGTAATTAATCTGGATTGCTTTGTGAAAAGATATTTCTAATGTTTCTTTTATAAAATGAACTCTAATGGCTTCTAGTTCATTTGAGTGTTATTTACACGAAATTACCTCTATTGTCAATTTAAATCTAACTTATTTACTAATGTACCTATCAACAAAGTATGATATATTATTTATGATTGTTTATAATCTGACTCAGATTTGAATTTACGATGCCCGTTAGATCCTTCCGGAGTTATTAAGTGTTTTTTGGAATTGTATTTACGACCGACGTTATTTTCATTCCGAAGAAAGAAAGTGTGGCAATGGGTTCACCAGTTTCTCGATTGTAGCGAATTTACGCATGCATTCTCTAGAAACCAGTGCGACCACAAGATGTGTAAATCCCCCAAAAGTCTGGTTATGGTATGCAGATGACATTTTCATTAAACGGAATGATTTTGAAGAATTGTTTGAAAATGTAAACATCTCGGAGAGCATCAAGGTAACAAATGAAGTAGAGTCCAATGACCACAAATTAGCGTTTCTCGATTGTTTGGTTGAGCGAAGTTACAATAATAAGTTGAAAATAAATGTATTCAGGAAATCAACACATTCTTAGAGATACTTAGATTACGGTTCGGCTCATGCGTATTATACAACGGTCACAGTTGTACAAAATTTAATTGAAGGATTATTAATCTCAGTACAGAAAAGGAAGACCAACAGATTGAATTGAATGGAATTTTGTCTACACTTAAGGCCAACAATTACCCCGGAAAGTGTTCAAAGATGATGAAAAATGAAAGGAAAAGCTAAATTAGGGAATATACCGAAAGATTGGAAGTCCACCGTGGTCATCCCATACCGTAGTGAAACATCGGAAGAAATGAAGAGGATTCTAAACAAACATGATATGAGTGTATTTTCTGGCTAGTGACACCATAAGACCAGCATTAGTGAAAGTTAAGGATAGATTTCATAATGAAGAACAGAATATTGTCTATGAGATCAGCCGCGATGATTGTAATGCAGCGTATGTGGGAGAAACTTCAAAATAATTGAATGTGAGGTTGAAGGAACACAAACAATGTTTGAGAAATTTTCCCAAATCCTCGGTTGATCTGAAGAAACTTGAAGTTAGATTGGCGATAGCGTTACAGGCTGGCTTCAGAACTTGTTGTATCTGCATCGATCACATATTCACCATTCGTCAGGTTCTAGAACACAGGCATACTTATCGGCGTCCGACAATGGTGATCTTTCTTGACTTAAAAGCAAAATTTGACTCTGTGGACCGAGAGGTTCGGTGACAGTGTCTGTCGTTGAAAGGCGATTCTTAGAAGTACATAGGCCTTGTGAAGGTTCTTTACTTGAACACTACCAACGAACTGTCATCTGATTTCGTAACCTCAAGTGCTGTCCGTCACGTATGCCCACTATCTCTATTTCTGTTTAATTTCATCATAGATATACTGATGGAAACAACGTTCTCGTCGACTGAATTTTCGGGCATTGACCTCCTGGAAGGAGGTCCACTTATCGACTTAGAATACGCAGATGATATAGTCCTGTTTAGTGAAGACACTAATAAAATGCAGTGTTTTGGTAGCACTGGGCAACAATGCCAGAATGTTCGGAATGAGTTTCTCCCTCTCCAAATGCAAGTTGTTGCTTCAGGACTGGTCTGTGTCAACACCTGAAATAAGGATAGGGAGTGAAGTAGTCGAACGCGTCGACAACTTCGCTGATCTTGGAAGTCTGGTCAACCCTAATGGGTTGGTGTCTGACGAAGTCTCTGCACGGATTCGAAAAGCTCGTTTGGCTTTTGCCAACTTACGTCACCGATGGCAAAGGCGAGGTATCCGTCTGTCAATTAAGGGACGAGTGTACTGTGCAGCAACCCGTTCTGTTCTACTTTACGTCTGCGAAGCGCAGTCAATAAAAGTAGAAAATGTTCGTGATTTACTAGTATTTGGTCACAGATACCTTAGAAATATTGCCAGCATTTGCTGGGATCACCGGGTAAGTAATAGTGAAGTTAGACACAGGGTATTAGGGAACGATGGTAAATCAGTTGATGAAGTTGTGAATCTTCATCGACTGAGGTGGTTGAGCCACGTATTACGTATGCCTGTACACCGATTACCACGACGCGCAATGCTGACTAGTGTTGGGGGTGGTTGGAAGAAAGTTAGGGGTGGCCAAACCAAAACGTTGCATCAGTGCTTGAAGTCACTAACTTCTAGTCTGAGTCATGTTGGTAGATGCAGACTACATGGTTAGGGTTCGTGTGACTATCGTAACCAATGGTTGGAGACTTGGTGACATGGCTCAGAATCGATCACAATGGCGTCGGTGTATATACTCTCTGTCTTCCCTTCAACTAAGAGACTAAAATCGCTTCATGTCTTTCTTCCTACGAACCAATTCTTTCTTCCTTTACTATATCTTTATATGCAATCTTTCTTTTATATATTACCACCTCTGAATTAACTAATTTTATGAATTTGGTGTTCATTTTGTTGAGGCAACTTGGACCGATGCATATGTGTGCCTGGTTCTACGTTGCAGCTGAGTTTTACTATCTTCATCGTCATTCGATTCCTGTTGTTTTCATTTTCCTCTACTGTCAGTACGAATCCTACTTTCCATACCTGATGTATAATAATTATAACTGTACGTATAAATAGCACACACCACAAATGTAGTCTACGCCAGTCATCTCAGTACACAAGTCAGACGGCTTTATCAAAAGTATGTAACTATCAGGAGTTAATTGGTCTATGATCGTAGGCATCCTGTATATGCGTAGTCAGAGTACTTCTAAATGTAATCATGAGATAATTAAATTTCGGACACGTGAGTAAATCAAAATTCGTGAATGTGGTTTACGGAGCAGTGTGACGACGAAATAGATGGAGGGTAGATTGGTTGATTTAGGTAACGAATACATTGCTTCACCATACGTCATCTTCCTCATAGATCTATAATCAGAATCTTTTACCAATCGGGAAATAAAACGTTTGAGTAAGTCAACTGTTTACCGAATACGAAATAACGGGCGCATGAAAAATTATCCGGAACCAGAAAGGCGTATGCGAAAAACAAACGAGTGACCATTCAACATATCAACACAGACTGACGTTACACATATCAATTAAGTATTAAGACATGTGTTATGATATATTCATTTCAATTGACGGATTGAGAAAAAAATTCTGAAACAATTTGAGGTGTCTACAATAAACATTATTAAACAAAGCGCATTTACAAAAGGCAAATGCCTATTAGTTATACAAACATTTCTCTACATAAAATTATTTTTAGATCCCCCAGTCAATTAATACAATGTTTTTATGTACAAAATGCGCGCTGGGTAATAGACAGGAAAAATTAGAAGTTTGGCGCATTTACTGAAGATGGAAATTAAAGGAGAAATGACGAAGAACCACTGGCATAGCCAATGTCTTAAGCATCTCAACCTGGATGGTTGGTGGTTTTAACAAAATTGATGAAATCACTTTTGTTAAAAAAATATTCCGTTAAGTTGTAAGACAAAGGCACAGAAATGGTTCATTTCGACGTCTCATCACTTTTGTAAAAAGTAAGGAATGGATGCTTAACAACTTTGTACAATTTTAGACTACATCTGTCACCACTTGACTGGATGAAACATCCGATATGTTGTGATGAGACCCATCAACGTCATTATTTGATGTTTGATTTTCTTCAAATTGAATGTGGTCATTTTTGTCTTTTATTTGTTCCTCTTCCTCACTTTCTTCATCTGAATAATCCACCAAACCAATAGGAGACAATGGATCAGCTTCTATAACCTACAAGCATAGGTCAAATGAATTATTGATAGAACATGTGATGTTACTCTTTTATGATTGTTACTGGGATTATGTCATTTATTGCACCAATCAAAAACATACAATAGACACAAACAACTCAAAATAAAATACATGATTTTTGGACTTACTATGAGGTTTCGATGTGTTAATAGATTTTATATATTTACCATGCATTCATAAAAAATAGATAAACAATATCAGTCCCAGTTAAAACATCAGAGGAAATTGAAATGCGGTGTATTCCACAAATGTTGAAGTGCAATACAATGAGGCATACCCTCATACAAAGTTTAACTCACTGCCTTCACGCCACGGGAATGCTCGAGTTTAAAAATCATAGCTTTGAAGTCAAAGCATTGGTTCTAGGACTCGGCGAAATAAGTTGTACTATGTATTTACAATTGATTGATCACTGGGTGTTGATCGATGTCATGTGTGTCGGGTCCTTCTTAGTGCAGATCGAATCCTATCGACCACGTGGTAACGTCTCTGACTGCGAAGCTGGGTGATAAGGGATCGCATCAGCCAGTGAGCATCCGTTCCCTCAAGATCACAGGTACACCTTGTTGACGAGTGCCAAATAGTACTAAACCTAGGCCCAGGGTTTCCTGTCGACCGTCTCCAAATACCATCTCATCTCAACATGGTGCACGCAATGTCAAGTCACCTAGACTAGTGGCCAAATTACAACTTTGGAGATTAGATCTATCTGCACTAGGAAGGAACTGACATACATGACATTGATCACTACGCAGTGATCAATCAATTGTAAATGTAATATATATAGTTAAACAGAAGATTTGTATTTTATGATTAACTTATCGTCATTCATAATAGTCAGTATGTTAAGATTGACGGTGGCTAGCAGTGGAATCCAGGACGCGCCTTTCGTCCTATTTGAGACTGATAAATTGCAGTCCTTAACAACAATAGGAAGATACAAACAAGCAATACCAAGTGGATTTAAGTCAGTATGTTGCTACATAATAAAACTGTAGACCATAGGTCCAGAGATTGATTCTATGAAAGAATCACCTGCTTGGTTTAAACATCTAAGGTGAATCCCAAATTTTATACAAACCATGTCAATCGAAATGAATGGCCTACATAATAAACCATTGAGCCTATGATCATTTTTTAAATGTATTCTTCATAGAAATTAAGATGTTTCTTTGAGTCGAACAAAGTATATTTGGGTTGCGCCCAAAGTTCTTTAATACTTCTAACTCTTGCTATTCATCACATAATGTTCCTTGTTTCTTCGTTTTATCTTATATAGGAGATATCTTTAAGCCTATAATGCAAGAATTTTGTGTTAGAAATAAATAATACAAAATCGATCACAATAACCGTTTGTAATATGTTTTAATTTAGTTTCGTTCAGCTTTATCATTTCAGTGTAAATCCCATCTACTGAGTATGAGGTATGTAATAAGATTATTAATCAACCCTTTCGATAAACAGAGTAACGAAACAAATTTATTAGAAATCTGTAGCTCATCAATTTAGTTGACTATTACTCAGTCCACCACATTTAATCCGATAACATAAAGAGTTTATGCACATTTAGGATGAAAATGAATGATGTTGGTAGATTACATTAATACTCATTCGCTTCATATTATTACAATATTTCGATTTAAAAGCAGGATTAAATATGTACACATATGTGGATACTTGCTGGTCGGAGGTCTATGCTCCATTGGAAGTAATGGGCGTAAGTATGTGGATACTGAAATGCAATTTTAAGCACTGATGAATATTTAAAAGTATTTTACTAACATAAATAGTTTCTTGATTATAATAAAGCGAATCTAAAATAAGCAACCACTCGCTTAAACACCTCACTGATGAGAAATTAAAACAATTAACCCACCTCAAATGATTTTGTATTATTTGTCTCATGAGGAAGTTTGTCAGAGTAGCTGTTTTCCAAGATAACTGTTTCTTTGTGTAGGTGAAAATCTTGGGATGATGACTTGTTACTTGACTGTCTAGATTTTTTCAAACGCTTTACCTGGACTAAATTGCAGTCCTCATTTTCAACAGGAGGATCGATATGATTTCGCTTTATTTTATGGGAAATATCAGACATAATGGGACTTGATACTGATGAGTTTTGTGCATCACTTGAATTCGAACCGGTTACATTTTCTTTATATTCATTATCATCAATATGGTTAGGATTTCTGGCGCTTGATAAACTGGTATCTGACGCTAATAAAGATGGATTTAATCGACCACTTATTTCAAATCCATCACTCATTGTTTCTATTTTCTCTCTACACAATGATTTGATATGAATCGCTATAGGAGTTTGACGACCAAAATTAAGACGTGCTGCAGAAGACTCATTATCATCATTCAAAAGAACAGTGTGAGGACGTACACGAAGTCTATCGCACAGAGATCCTGAACGTGGAGGTATGCATAAATTGTCAGTTAAATTATCCATTACAGATTTCGGTGAAAAACTGGGCGGATGAGGCAGAACACTAGCGCATGAATCAAGACTAGAATTGCTTGGTGCGATCGAGGATGATAAAGAAACCAAACTAGATTGCGTATCTGAAGACGTAACAATACCCAATAAATCTGACGAAGTAGTGATTACAGAATGTAGCCCATATGAAGGGAGATTTGACAAACCACTTCCAACAGTAGGTTCACTTGCACTAGCAGAAGCATTTGTCGTTCTATTGAGCAATGTTGGCGAGTGTTGTGGGAATAGGTTATCTCCATCTTCTTCCTCTTCCTCATCTTCATCCTGATCAAACCATTGTTCTTCTTCCATCTCTAGTGCACGTGCATCACGTTGGAAACGCGTAGAAGTCAAAGAAAGCCTTAAATTATCAAGTTAACAAAAACACGTAAACAATCGAGCATCAAGAAAGGGATAAAAACTACAGAGATTTAACATTACTTGTAAAATTATATTTGAAATAGTCTCAGCGACTGAAAATTACATAATCCCAACGTTTCGTCCAGCAATCTCGCCAAGAGATCTTCAAGGTAATCAAAACCAAAACTACCAAATATATAATGCTTAACAATGAATAATTTTTCACTTTCATTATCCAATCATGTAAGTAGGATAACATGAGTCAGTTATGTGCGGATCATGTGAAAAGTTCGCAATGTGGAGATAAATGCATGAATGATTGTGTGTGCAAGTTTAAGTTACTGAAAGTTGATATTGGGTGTTAATTTTTCGTTATATGAAGTAAAAATAAAGGTACAAATTGAAAGTTGGAATTGTTTGTGAACTATCGATGTGCGTATAAACTGAGAACCAACAAATATATAATTGTGATACTAAAATACCCCAATTAATTTCTGTCAGAATAACAATTGCCTACGCAAAATACTGAATGTCCGTTGACCGGATACCATCAGCAACAACCTACCATAGGAGAGAGCAAAACCAGCTTTCAGATTAAGAAGTTAGATGTTGGAAGTGGATAGGATATCCATTGTGAAAGCCACCAAACTGCATCACGAAGCAATTGCTAACTTGGAATCATGAAGAGAAACAGAAAAGAGTAAGACCAAACAACAGATTTCGCCGACAACTGAAAGACATGGTAAGGATGAATAACAACTGGGAAGGATTGCCCAAGACAGGTAGAGAAGAGTGGGTGGTGGGTGACCTATGCCCCTCTACGAGGAGCAACAGGCGTAAATAAGTACGAATAACAATGCGTGTGAAAAAAAACAGGTTGGGTAGAGATGGCGTCTAATTACTTGTTACTGGACATTTACCATGTGGTAGCTGTTATTGTAGTGAAAAAGAACATGGGTGGGGACAACCGAATGTATTTAGCACAAAATTACAGAGTTACTTGGTAAAATAGAAAAACCAAATAGTAAATCGATAATTTGTAAAATATCATTCCATCATATCAAACCGGACTGTTGTCGTTGCAAACATCAATCCATTGTGTTCTCGCTCTTCCCCCATCTTCTGCTGCCAGACATTACGTTCTTTAACTCGCGTTATATACTACTTATATCAATATAAGTAGCACGCACCACGTTATGACTTTACCACTCACAATTATCACCAATCTGTTTAGATCTCTCATCAGGATGGTCAGGTCTTTTCCTGGGCAATTTGCTTTGATTGATTGCAGCCTCTCACAGAACTGATCTTCATTGTCGTCGTTGCTATCATTGGTGGGTGCATAACACTGGATTGATTATAATTTCCTCCTTTATTTTGAAAGATGCTCTGGTGATCCTGGGTCCACGAGATTTCCCCCTGATTAATCGTTTTACGTGCTTCTTTGAACAGCATTAGAGCAACTCACTGAGTATGAGCAACATTTTCTTCTTTGTGACAGGAGTGCAGCAGCATCACTCCCAAATCTATTATTCTATCCACTTTGGGTTAAATGGGTTTCACTGGATCCGGGCACCGGCAAGTTGTATCTCCTCATTTCCGCAGCTATTTGATCGGTCCTCCCGGTCTCCCACATTGTCCAGACGTTCCGTGTACCTATATTAATTGTTGCTCTGGTTGTTAGAAGTGGTATCAGCCTCATAACTGCCGAAGAATCTAAGCTTTCACCATGAGGCATCATAATTGTTCTGAAAGATCCTTCAACCCCCAAGGTAGTTTATATTATTAATTCTGGTTAGCGTTTTTTCAGGGAAATTGTTTTTTACGGGATGAGATGGATCCCAAATCTCCTCCTTTACTTGCGCTTGAGACCGGTAGTAACAGTAGAATAACTACAGGCTATGGCTTAAAGTACCTGAACACTCCTGAGCATCTTTTAAAATCATTAAGTAACCTCAGTCTCGATATAAACATTAAATACAGTGTCACATATTTAGAGACACAGCACAGAAAAATGTGCTGTAGACACACTTTTCATTTACGAATGACCAAATTCTGTAATTCTCTGGTCTGAGGTGATCAAGAGACTTCTAGAAATCATTCAATAGGAAACGTGAAATATTTTAAAAGACTCAGGACTCGAGTTCATTCTGATTTACTTATATTTCCCGCTGTGATGTTAAATACATCAAAATGGCTACCTGGACACATGAATTGCAGAAGGTTACTAGATACGGAAGCCACTTGAGCAAAAGCTTCTTTTATGTGCCTCAACCATCTCAGTCGATGAAGATTCACAACTTCATCAACTGATTTACCATCGTTCCCTAATACCCTGTGTCTAACTTCACTATTACTTACCCGGTGATCCCAGCAAATGCTGGCAATATTTCTAAGGTATCTGTGACCAAATACTAGTAAATCACGAACATTTTCTACTTTTATTGACTGCGCTTCGCAGACGTAAAGTAGAACAGAACGGGTTGCTGCACAGTACACTCGTCCCTTAATTGACAGACGGATACCTCGCCTTTGCCATCGGTGACGTAAGTTGGCAAAAGCCAAACGAGCTTTTCGAATCCGTGCAGAGATTTCGTCAGACACCAACCCATTAGGGTTGACCAGACTTCCAAGATCAGCGAAGTTGTCGACGCGTTCGACTACTTCACTCCCTATCCTTATTTCAGGTGTTGACACAGACCAGTCCTGAAGCAACAACTTGCATTTGGAGAGGGAGAAACTCATTCCGAACATTCTGGCATTGTTGCCCAGTGCTACCAAAACACTCTGCATTTTATCAGTGTCTTCGCTAAACAGGACTATATCATCTGCGTATTCTAAGTCGATAAGTGGACCTCCTTCCAGGAGGTCAATGCCCGAAAATTCAGTCGACGAGAACGTTGTTTCCATCAGTATATCTATGATGAAATTAAACAGAAATAGAGATAGTGGGCATACGTGACGGACAGCACTTGAGGTTACGAAATCAGATGACAGTTCGTTGGTAGTGTTCAATTAAAGAACCTTCACAAGGCCTATGTACTTCTAAGAATCGCCTTTCAACGACAGACACTGTCACCGAACCTCTCGGTCCACAGAGTCAAATTTTGCTTTTAAGTCAAGAAAGATCACCATTGTCGGACGCCGATAAGTATGCCTGTGTTCTAGAACCTGACGAATGGTGAATATGTGATCGATGCAGATACAACAAGTTCTGAAGCCAGCCTGTAACGCTATCGCCAATCTAACTTCAAGTTTCTTCAGATCAACCGAGGATTTGGGAAAATTTCTCAAACATTGTTTGTGTTCCTTCAACCTCACATTCAATTATTTTGAAGTTTCTCCCACATACGCTGCATTACAATCATCGCGGCTGATCTCATAGACAATATTCTGTTCTTCATTATGAAATCTATCCTTAACTTTCACTAATGCTGGTCTTATGGTGTCACTAGCCAGAAAATACACTCATATCATGTTTGTTTAGAATCCTCTTCATTTCTTCCGATGTTTCACTACGGTATGGGATGACCACGGTGGACTTCCAATCTTTCGGTATATTCCCTAATTTAGCTTTTCCTTTCATTTTTCATCATCTTTGAACACTTTCCGAGGTAATTGTTGGCCTTAAGTGTAGACAAAATTCCATTCAATTCAATCTGTTGGTCTTCCTTTTCTGTACTGAGATTAATAATCCTTCAATTAAATTTTGTACAACTGTGACCGTTGTATAATACGCATGAGCCGAACCGTAATCTAAGTATCTCTAAGAATGTGTTGATTTCCTGAATACATTTATTTTCAACTTATTATTGTAACTCCGCTCAACCAAACAATCGAGAAACGCTAATTTGTGGTCATTGGACTCTACTTCATTTGTTACCTTGATGCTCTCCGAGATGTTTACATTTTCAAACAATTCTTCAAAATCATTCCGTTTAATGAAAATGTCATCTGCATACCATAACCAGACTTTTGGGGGATTTACACATCTTGTGGTCGCACTGGTTTCTAGAGAATGCATGCGTAAATTCGCTACAATCGAGAAACTGGTGAACCCATTGCCACACTTTCTTTCTTCGGAATGAAAATAACGTCGGTCGTAAATACAATTCCAAAAAACACTTAATAACTCCGGAAGGATCTAACGGGCATCGTAAATTCAAATCTGAGTCAGATTATAAACAATCATAAATAATATATTATACTTTGTTGATAGGTACATTAGTAAATAAGTTAGATTTAAATTGACAATAGAGGTAATTTCGTGTAAATAACACTCAAATGAACTAGAAGCCATTAGAGTTCATTTTATAAAAGAAACATTAGAAATATCTTTTCACAAAGCAATCCAGATTAATTACCTTTCTATCCATTAATGAAGGTTAACGACACCAAATAACTTAACGGCAATCAAGACTTATTTGAATTTTGAAAATAAGTAGATACTCCTCTTTAAATGAATGATTTCAAGCCGACAGTATATGTATTGATAGTTATAGGATATTTCTTTAAGAAATTGTACAACAAGTGCCCTCACTTTATAATCCCACTGATAACAAAAAGAAATAACGCAGACAAACTGCTACCAAGTTCAAACAAATAAAACTTACACATCTAATGTCGCTTGCTGGGTCACAGTTCCAACAACAGTCCTAACTGAACGATGACTGTGATCGTATGCTCGTTTTAGATCGGTAAACGTTTGTACGTAATTTATATTTTTCAAAATATCCCAATAATTTTCTATTATATGGGTAATTAATGAAGTTATTTCTTCAGAGCGAATATAGTCAAAAAGTTCGATAATAGCTGAGTCCAACAGGTTGTAACGATATCCGTTGGAAACGAAGAGCTTCAAAACTGGTTTAAAAAGATTGTTTTTGATCAAATAACGATTATAAAATTCTTCTTTCATATGGACAACACGTCTTAGAAGACGTAAAGCAGCTAAAAATAGACAGCAGATTAATGCTGTGTATGAGTTAACCTACCTAACACAAGGAATTTATGAGATGATAGCAATAAAACGAGAACACGTTTTAGTAGATCACGATTAAAGCAGTAATTCTTCATGTGGTATGTATGAGTTTCAATACAGAACGTGAGCAATTCAATTATATGGTTCAAAACTAATGCAGTGTGATAATCATCTACAATAGAAAAAAAGCGTATGATAAACGGAAATATTTCCCATTACCCTTCTCCAGTGTTTCTTTTGAAGTATTGTCAAATAATGGACGAACAAGTGTATTGATGCATCGTTTATAGAAAAAACTGAGAAAATCTGTTTTTTCGCTACGCTGTAATAGAAAAAATAACAAAATAAACATAGAAACATCACTATTTTACAAATAAATCTGAAAAAAATGATAATTTTATACACAACTAAGAGCAGACAATTTAATACTTTAATTTAACGAAACTGTGCTAATTTCCAACAAGTGTGTTAACTCTCAGGATTAAGATATAATTGAAACGGATATTAGATTCCTTGCAGTTTAACAAAAAGAAGTGTTGAAAGTTAGATCAGATGTGATTTTTGCAAAAAATCTTGGAACTGAACATAATAACATCAGACTAGTTTTCAATCGCTGATCCTCCCAATCTCTAAGAAAGGACTTAATTCCTATTATGACAATCCAACTAGAGCTTAAAAAACCAGGTTGGTATCAGACCAAATATTCACTCTTTGGTAGATTATGAAACACACACACAATTTTCGATGTCCGACTGTTGTTGTGTCTTTTGACCTTACGGCGGCGCCTGTTGGGGACGCTAGATCCCCATAAATCGCTTAGTAAACGTCTTATTTTTGTAATTTTATTTCGAAAATTTGAATTTCTTGTTTTCGCATCAAAGGCGATTACTTCAACCTTCCTATTGTATTTCCTATTTGGAAGGATCTTATAATTCATTGATTCGATCCCTCTTTCAAGACACTTTTTGCGGCGTTTCTCGAAGACCTTTTTATACTGTATATATAGACTTAAGTTGTGTGCTTGATTTGTTCGTGATTCAGGCTGCTTGTGTAATATACTTCTCCCTCTAGTCATTAGGGTTACGATGCATTGGAATAACTTAGCTTGTCTTATCGTTGTGTTGCTGATCCTTCGTTCCGTTCGCCGCCCGACCGTTGTTGCTACCTTAACGTGGTGGTCGGGCTTGCCTATCGTGATGAACCAACCGAGCTATATTGGCTGGAACAACCGTTCCTCAAGATCCTACAATGTCAGACAGGTCGATTGAAGAGCGGTAAAACTAAAAGCAACAAACTCAAGGTCCGAAGGCGAAGTCATACTGCTGACTGTACAGAGGTATGACAGCAGTAAGGTGTTTCCTCCGGACAACCATCATAACAGCGATGTTGCTTCCCCACGAGGAGGGGTGGGGTTAGAAAAGGTCCACCCAAAAATGCACACTCCGCCTTACCCCACGGATGTCCGTCTTCGGTGATAAGGTCTCAACAAGTACGGAGCTAACAAAAATGGTTGTGTGTGGTTGACCTCAAGCAGTTGTCCGTTGGGCACTGCGGTCACGCTCTCAGGTCACTAAGAACACCTCTAATCCAATTTCCTTTTCAGGTACCTCCAGAAGAACCCTTCCTCGGTGTGGGCAACCGGGAAGTGATAACCGCCCTCATACCTCTAACAGCACTCAAGACCACTGTATTCATAATCAACCTCCCTCTTCAATTCCTGTTATTTCTCCTACATCGACTTTCAACGCTAAACTTCCTCTTTCGGCTTCCTTCTCAAATGTCACCATAGCCAACGATTCTAGTGCTCAAAACATTGTCCCAGGTCTACTGAAACCTCGCTCCAAACTACACATTGGAGCCTCCAACGTACGCACCCTATGTCAAATCGGTCAGCAGGCTTCCCTGGCTAGAACCCTAGAATCTCGTACCATTCATGTATGCTGTGTCCCTGAAACACGAGTACAAGATCCCAGTGTGGTCATTCACTTGACCTCACCCCAGCAAGACGAAGAGCCAACGAGATACACCCTCCGTGTATCTGGTGACCCGATGGCCAGTTCTCGTGGACTGGCAGGTGTAGGCATAGCACTAAGCATGAGGGCGGAACAAGCACTGTTAGAGTGGATCCCCGTTAACAGTCGTTTATGTGCTGTTGAGCTAAAAGGCTCCGTAAGAATTCGGAAGGATAGGGACACACGTCGTTGCCTTTTTGTCGTTTCTGCCTGTTGTATCCCGATAAGAATAATGAATCGTAATTTTTGGGATCCATTTATGGACCAATATTATGAGCATATTTTTATCGTATAATTATTATGTAACTAAACTGTTCATATTCATGCCCCTCTTATTATGAGCTTTATTTTGACCTATGAACCATTATTATACGTTTTACCATTCTTGAGTTATAGCCAGTATATTGATTACTACCTCCCTCATTCACAGCCACATCTGGCTAGTTCTTGTACAAATGTTGTTTCATACTTTATTGGTACGTTGTGGTCGGTTTGTTTGGTATATAAACTCAGTATGCTTGAAATATAATGATTCATATCTCAGAGGCTGAGACTCAAATGGCTGGGCTAGAGAGGGGAGCGGGACCAATCAGAACTCCAGGCCGTTCTTACGTGTTTACGCGTCTTTGATCCGATCAATAATACGCTGTCCTTTAATCTTCAGACACAAGTTATAGCACTGCCTACGCTCCCACCGACTGCAGCTCAGATGATGTGAAAGATGAATTTTACAGAAAGCTAAAGGCTGAGACAAAATACTCGTAGCTAGTGAATTTAATGCCCAGCTAGGTAGCTTAAAGAAAGCAGAAACATAATTAAGTACGTTAACTCATACACAGCATTAATCTGCTGTCTATTTTTAGCTGCTTTACGTCTTCTAAGACGTGTTGTCCATATGAAAGAAGAATTTTATAATCGTTATTTGATCAAAAACAATCTTTTTAAACCAGTTTTGAAGCTCTTCGTTTCCAACGGAAAGCCATACAAACAGCTGTGGAAACAGCAGTGACATCTATTAGTTATTTGAACCACAGGGTTACAAAGAACCAATGCATTTCCTCAAGGTCTATCACACTGATGGATTCTCGCAAACTCGTCCCATCAGGTTCCGAACATGATGAAGAGCGACAACAATTCAGATCTAGGTTAAGAAAAAGTCTAAGAAACGACCGTGAGCAGTGGTGGGCAATGAAAGCAAAAGAGATGGAAAAGGCGGCGACTATAGGGAACACAAGACAGCTTTACAGACTAATAAAAGAAACTGGAATTAATAAGTCAAGTGTAAGTGAGATTATATCAGAAAAAGAGTATAATCCAGTGAAATAAATTTGGGAAGAGAAAAAAAGACAAGGAGGGATAAGGAGACCAAAATTTGGGAGAACACAAAGAGTAGATGCACCTGCGCCATTGCAAACGATTTTGAGCCATGTCATTCAGGGTCTCTAACCAGTTGTGTTCGAGTAGAGAGCCTTTATAAGGTTAATGTACTTCTCTGGTACTCCTTTCAGTGACAAACACTGCCATAGAACCTCACGATCAACAGAGTCGAATGCTGCTTTAAGGTCGAGAAATACTACCATTGTGGGGGTCTGAATGTGTGTCTGTGTTCTAGAACCTGACGTAGTGTGAATATCTGATCTATACAACCACGTCCAGGTCGAAAACCGGCCTGGTTTTCTCTAATCTGCTCTTCACGAGCTTTGATTAGGCGTCGAAGTATTATTGAAGCTAATATTTTAGACACTATATTAGTCAAACTGATTCCTCTGTTATTGTCACAAGAGGAGTTTTGTCCTTTCTTATAGACTGGCACAATCAGTGACTCAGACCAGTCAGATGGGATTACGTCCGAATCCCAAATTCTACCTAAGACCTCAGTTAATCTCATTGCTAATACTGGACCACCATCCTTAAAAATCTCAGGAGTAAACCTGTCAGGGCCTGTTCCTCTCCCTCGTTTCAGATTTCCTATGGCTTTTTCAACTTTGTAAAGAGTCGGAGGACCTACATTAACTTGCCATTAAGGTTGACTGGAGATCGTGGGAAACCGAAGTGTGACTGAAGGCCAGTTGAACTGATCCCTAAAGTGTTCTGCCCATCGATCCAATCTCCTGGATTGAGAATGAATAATATGCCCATCTTTCTCTGAGATTGCTTCGCTAACGGTCGGGTTCCTAATTCCGGTTTCCTTAACGAGTCTAAACAGTTGTCTGCTATTACCTATTGCCGCTGCCTTTTCCATCTCTCTTGCTTTCGCTACCCACCACTGTTCGCGATCATTGCGTAGACTTCTTGTCAGCTTGCGCTTAAGTTGACTCCGCTCTTCATTATGTTCAGAGCCAGGTGCAATGAGTTTCCGAGCATTTATCAGTGCGATAGGTGCTGCTGAGATCTAGTGGTGCTCCCTACCCTTACCGGTTACCGTACTAGCAGATATCACTGCTGTTTCCACAGCTTTTCGGATATCATTCCATGCTGCCTCGGGGTGGGCATCACATACATGGCTGCCTAACTGCTTTCCTAATTTCTCTTGAAATATACTCTTAGCTTGACTATCATTAAGTAGGGCCCTAAGAGGTTTCCTTGCAGCGTCTTTCCTACGTCCAGTAAGACGCAGGCAAATACGTGCTCTCAGTAGAGCATGATTTGAATCTAGGCATGTGCTCCAGAATGAGCGACAGTCTTCTATCGAGCCCCTCCATCGGTGGCTGATAGCGATGTGGTTTATTTGGGTCCAACGTTGGGACGAATTAGGGGGTCGCCATGGTAAAAAATGTTTTTCCTCATGCTTAAAGTTAGTATTTGCAACGAACAGGCGGTTATCTGAGCATAGCTGCAACAGACGGTCGCCATTATCTGTTCTTTGAGCCACGACACCATAGGATCCACCTAGGTGTCTTTCCTTATCGCTTAGTTTACCTACTTGAGCATTAAAGTCACCGGCCACTATTACTACATCCGAGCGCTTAGCTTTTCGGAGAAGGTCCGAAAGCTTTCTGTAAAACTCATCTTTGACATCATCTGAGCTGCAGTCAGTGGGAGAATAGGCAGAGACGACGAAGAGGCAACGACGAGTGTCCCTATCTTTCCGGATTCTTACTGTTCCGTTTAGTCGGATAGCGCACAAACGGCTGTCTACTGGGATCCACTCTAAGAGAGCTAGTTCTGCCCTAGGACTCAATGCTATACCTACGCCGGCGAGGCCACTGGAAGCAGAATCAGGGCTTCCAGATACACGAAGCGTAAATCGGGTCGGTTCTTTATTTTGGCATGGTGAGGTCAAATGAATGACGCTACTCGGATCCTGTAT